CATTCTCTGACTACATTAAAGGCAACATTTACTACAAGGTGATAAAGGATCTTCATATGAGCAACTGGAAATTAAAATACACTGTTCTAAAAAAATTCATGGCTTAAATAAGAAAGTATAATTAAATTTTAGATACAGCTACATGATAGCAAAATATTCATATCAAAACTTGTGAGATATAGCTAAGAAGCAGTGACACAAATTTGTAGCTTTTGAAAATTTTAGCTTAGAAACTAAATAACAAAAATTCAAAGAAGAACTAATAAAATAAGTAACAACAAAATATAAATAAATGTCAATTAATGAATTCTTCCATTGAATAGGAATGGTGAGAATACTACCCATCTTATTTTATGAGATGACCTAAGTTTTGTGTTTGTGTGTGTGTGTGTGTGTGTGTGTGTAAATATATAAAAGAGCTAATAAAGTAGTCCAAATTCTGGCAAAATTAATCAAAACAAAATGAAAGAGTATATCTATACACTTTAATAATAAAAACAGGTCATAATAGTAGATGATGAAACAGATAATGAGAGAATATTATGAACCATTTTATTCTATTAAGTTTGAATTTTATATATATATAACAGTTAAATATCTTAGAAATTAAATTTATGAATATTGACTCATAAGAAAACCTAAATAGTCCTATGACCTTAAGGTAATTGAACCAACAAGTTTTTATAAAGTAAACTCCACACCCTGGGGTTTTGCTGGTGATTTGAAGAAATATTCAAGGACCAGATAATTCCAACCTAGCCCAAATTCTTCTATAGACTAGCAGTAGTGAGAATACTACCCATCTTACCTATGAGATGACATCAACAAATAATAAAGTTAAAACCAAAAAAGATAATTACATGCCAATCTCAAATCACATATATAAATGCAAATATGTGATACTTATCTTGATAAAAAAGTTATTGCATATTTACCATAGTCAGTGTATTCCAGGACTGCAACATTGATTAAATATTAAAGATCGAATACTACATTATCATAGTAACATTTTTAAATGGAAAAAATATATGAGAAAATAACTACAGAAGAAGCATTCAATAAAACATCTATTCATAATAAAAGTGCTACCCAGGAGAATAATCAAACTTTCTTATCATGGGACAAGGCATTTACAAACTAACCATTGCAAATTCAATAAAGTTGACATAATGAAGTCTTTCTCTATATTATTTTAAGGATAAAACAAGATGCCCTTCTCACCTTTACTCAACTTTATACTGAAGATCCTAGGCAATGCAGTAAGACAGGAAAAAGAAATGTATAAGGACTGGAAAGGAAGAAATAATACTGTTTTTAGGTGATATGACTGCCTGTGTAGCAAATCTGAAAGATTCTATTGGTAAATTTAGAATTATTAATGGAGTTTGTCAAGTTTGATATGTAGTATATATAGTAGTATATAAAAGGCAACTGAATTTCTATACACCAGAAACAATAAGCTACAAAATAAAATTTTATGAAACAAAATATTTATAATAGCAGTAAAAATACAATGTATTTAGAAATAAATTTAATAAACATACATAAGCAGAAGGAAAACAATGAAAAATACAAACATTAAAGATTAAAGTTTAGCTAAACAAAATAGCATTATATAACAAGTTGATAGATGGGAAAATGCAACATCTTAAGGAGGACTTTTCTCCCCAAATTGATATATAAAAATAATGCAATATCAATCAAAATTCCAGCAGGTTTGTTTGCTTGTTTGTTTATTGTTTTAGAGAACTTGTTAAGTTTATTTAAATATTTATTTGGAGGCACCGGTTGGCTCAGTTGGTTGAGTGTCCAACTCTTGGTTTTGGGTTGGGTCATGATCACAGGGTCACGGGATTGAGCCCCACATCAGGTTCCATGCTCAGTGTCTGCTTGAGATCCTTGCTCTCCCTTTGCCACTGCCACCCCCCCACACTTGCATGCTCTCTCTAAAATAAAAAAATCTTTTAAAAAATTTATATGGGGGCACCTGGATGGCTCAGTCAGTTAAGTTTCTGCCTTTGGTTCAGGTCATGGTCAAGCTCCCTGCTCAGTGGGGAGTCTGCTTCTCCCCCTTCCCTCTGTCTGCTACCCTCCCTGCTTATGCTCTTGCTCTCTCTCTCTCCCTCTCCGTGTTAAAAAAAATAAATAAAATCTAAAAAAGAAAAAGTTATAGGGAAGGTCAAAGATCTAAGAATTGCTAAAAAGCCTTGAAGAAGAAAAATTTTTTAAAGGGAAAGATCCTTACTACCGTATTTCAAGACGTATTATAAAACTAGAGTCATTACAGAAATAAATAATTACAAGATTAAGGAACTTAAAATCACGCATTTATGAAAAATCAAATTCTTGAAGATCACTGGTGCTGGGACAATAGCAAAACTATAAATGCTTTTAAAGAGATAAATATAGTAAAATTAATTTATTGTCTTGAGAAAACAATGATTTTTTTATAAAAAAATAAAGTTGGTAACTTGAATTTAAAATCCAAAACTTAGTTCATTGAGAGACGGACATACAGAGAAAGAAAAGCAAGTTGAAAGCTGCTATTTGTAGCATACACCCCTGATGAAGACTGGATTATCATCCACATTATATGCAGTCAATGAGTCTATAAGAAAAAGGCAAACAATCCAATAAGAAAATGAGTAAAAGTTAGGAACCAGGATTTCAGAGAGAAAGCACAATAGTTCACCAATGTATGAAAAGATGGTTGCTTCATTAGGTATTAGAGAAATGCTAATTAAAATCATAGTGGAACACTATTTCTTGTCCACCAGATTGGCTAAAAATGAAATTTGATAATACCACGTTATAACAAGTATGTGGAGCAACAGAAACTCTCATCTGTTACTAGAGGTTGTAAAAACCAGCTCCATACTTAGGAAACAGGTTGGAAATAACCTAATAAAGTTGAACACACACAAATCTTTTAACCGGGTAATTCTATACCTGGGTGTGCAATCCAGGGAAACCCGAGTGAGCCTGTGCATGTGAACTGGAAGGCATGTACAAGAATGTTAGAGAACAACAGTATTTGTTGCTATCCCCTGTAGGAAGCTGCCTTTAAAATGCCCCCCCATAAATCCCTGCCTCAGGATGTTCATGGTCTCGTGTAAGCCCCTTCCCTTGAGTGTGGGTTACAGCTGGGGACTCATCTCTAATAAACAGAAGATCATATGTCACTTTTGAGATTAGGTTACAAAAAAGAACCTGCCCTTCATCCTTTTCTCTCCTTTCTCTGAGGGAACCTTTATCCTGGGGGAAGCAAGTTGCCAATGTTTTGACTAGCTTGTAAACAGAGGCCCATTTGGCGAAGAACTGACGTGTCCAACCAAAGACAGTGAGGCTGAGAGGTTTGCCAAGAGTCACTTGAGGGAGCTTTGAGGGGGTTCCCTCTCCCCCCAGCCTTGAGAAGACTCTAGTCTCAGTCTGATACCTTGCTTACAGCCCGTGTGAGATACTGCGTCAGACACTCCCAGCTAAGCTCCTCCTGGATTCCTGACCCACAGAAACTGTGAGATAATAGGTTTTTGTTTAAGCTGCTAAGTGTCGGGGTAGTTTGTTACACAGCAATAGATAATAATACATTTCCCAAACCAGCAACAACCTAAATGTAGATGGAGAAGCTACGGTATACTCATAGCATACACAGTGAAAATGAAGGAATCATCAAGGGTGAGTCTCAAAAACTTGAGTATGTACAGTACAATGTCACTAATATGAAAATTAAACAATAAGGGAAACAAACATGTCTGTATATATGTTTTCAGAACACACACACACACACAAATCACCAAGCTATAAAGAAAAGCAAGAAAATGACGAATACAAAAATCAACTGTCACGTCTGGTGGAAGGGAAAAGGATGGGCTGGAGCTGGGGCATGCGGGGGCCTTCTGTGGTACTGCAATGTCTTATTTTTCCAATCTAGGAGATGGTCGGGCATTCTGGTCATTATTCTTTAGACCATTCTTAGATGTTTTATATGCCTCGTTCTGATACATTAAAAAAAAATTCGCACTGAGGCCGAAAAGAAAGCCAGATATTGAAGTCAATAGGCAAATAATTTGGAATGTGAAACGATGGATGAATGGATGGATGGATGGTTTGCTAGACAGATCATTTGGTCCTTTATGTCTAATTGGACTTGCGCTTCTAACAAGAAGTTTCATGATTATCGGATTTATGAATCTTTTCCTTCCAAACTTAAGGCCTTCTTCATTCATTGACCCAAGTCATTGGCCAGCTCCGGGTGTTTACGTGGGAACTGTATAATAATCCAGCGCTTACAGCTTCAGGCCAAACGCATTCCAGGCTACGCGTTGTGCCCGCTTCACCTCACCTGCTCTCACCACCACCCCTGCAACCCCCTGCCCCAGCGCACCCCCCCCTCCTCCGGCGCAGAGCCTCTGGGCGCCTAGAGCCCTGCAGTAGGAGAGGCCTTTGGCCTTTGGAGCTGTGGAGTTGGAGGTGGGGGGAGGTGGGGTGGGTGGGTGGCAGTGGTCCTGCACAGGCCAACGACCCGCACATAATTCAAGATCAAGCCCCCAGCAGATGAGCGGACAGCCACCTCCGGGGTTCCCTTTTAGCTCAAACCTCAGTGGCTCCAGGCAAAGCCCTTGCACAAAAACAAAAAACAAAACAAAACAAAAAAACCCCCACAAAAACAAAACAATAAAAAAAAAAAAAAGCTCAAGAAAATGGGGGGGGGGAAAGGTCATCGCCTCCAGAGGGTGACACACACTGCGGCAAGAAGGAAACAGAGACCGAGCTGCAGCAGCAGAGAAGAATCCGAAAAGGTAAAAAAAAAAAAAAAAAAAAGCAAGAAATTCTGTGTGTCACCCGTCGGCCACCCTCCCCCCACGCAGGTCCCCATCCCCCCCCCCACGCACAGCGCCCGCCTGCCCCCCCCCCCCGTCCCCGGGCCACCGCGCTGCGGCCGGTGACCTGGGTCGCCCCGGGCCTCCGGTCCAGGATGCGCCCCCGACCCCCCTACTCACCGGCTGCCCCGCGGTGCCCTGCGGCGCGGGTTCGGGGCGCGGAGGAGCGGCTGGGAGCGGGCGGCGGCGGGACCCTAAGGTTAGGAGCCTCAGGTGAGGGGGGCGGGGGCTGCGGCCGGGCTGGGGACGTGGAAGGTCGCGGGCGGACCGCGGGGGGCGGCCCGGGCGCTGATTGGCGGCGGCGCGGGGGCGGGGCCTCGGCTGCAGCCCGGGGCCCGGGCGGCCTCGCTTTGTGTCGGCTCCTGCAGGAGGATGCAGCCCCTGAACCGGGAGGGGGACCCCAGCCCCGGCCGGGGAGCGCGGGCAGGGCGGGCTGTGGAGAAAGAAATGCGACTCGATTCAGGACCGAGGGAGCAGTTCATACCTGATAATGATTATTTTATGTAAGACAGTACGCCCTGATTTCTAAGGGCGACCTAAAATCGATGGGTCCGACATATATTTTTATTTTTATGTTTATTATTATTTTTTTTTACAGTAAGTTCTGAAGTTGGTTTTCTTTCTTCCTTTCTTCCTTCCTTTCTTTCTTTTTTTAAAGCACAACCACAACAAAAGTAAGTCATAAAGCCCCAACTTGTATTTCCTTTCCATGACAACCAACAGTGAAATGTTCTCTGTTTCTGAGAGGGTCATATGTTCCATAGAACACAATTTAATAATAAAAAAAAAGAACATCACTTAAGAAGGCACACCTTTTTTTTTTTTTCACAGAAATGAAATTAGGCATTTATTTAACAAAGACTTACAGAGTAAAGAAGGCACATCTTAGAGCGGTATACTGATATTTAAAATTTGGGCCACGTATTTATGATTTATTTTTTATTTTTATTTATTTTTTAAATGAATTTATTATTTTTTTGGGTGTTCAATTTGTCAACATGCAGAATAACACCCAGTGCTCATCCCGTCAAGTGCCCCCCTCCGTGCCCACCACCCAGTCACCCCCACCCCCACCCCCTGCCCACCTCCCCTTCCACCACCCCTTTCCCAGAGTTAGGAGTCTTTCATGTTCTGCCTCCCTTTCTGATATTTCCTACCCATTTCTTCTCCCTTCCCCTCTATTCCCTTCCACTATTATTTATATTCCTCAAATGAATGAGACCATCTAATGTTTGTCCTTCTCCAATTGACTTACTTCACTCAGCATAATACCCTCCAGTTCCATCCATGTCGAAGCAAATGGTGGGTATTTGTCATTTCTAATGGCTGAGGAATATTCCATTGTACACATAGACCACGTCTTTATCCCAAAGATACAGATGCAATGAAACGCCAGGACACCTGCACCCCGATGTTTCTAGCAGCCATGTCCACAATAGCCAAACTGGAAGGAGCCTCGGTGTCCATGGAAAGATGCATGGATGTATTTTTAATTCAAAGCAGCAAGTCACATTAGAATGGAGCATCGGATCAGATTCTTGTTAAAAGAATTGCTTAGGTGAGGGGCAGGGCTAAGAGCGCAGGACTTGGCTGTTGACACTTCCCTTCATAACCACTGACTTCTGTTAAAGTAGCACATGTATTATTTTAGAAGTTGAATGAAGCAGGAAGGGGGTTAATAATTTTTACTACCCAGCAAATGGGTAACAGATCCTGGGTGTGAAAGAGAGAAAGAAAGATGTGGCCGTTAAAAACCTAGACTCTGAAGCCACTGGCACAGCTTTCCCCAGGCCCCATAACAAATGACCACAAATGCAGTGACTTGAAACAACACACTTATGATCATACACTTCTGAGAGTCAGAAGCCCACTGGCTGACGGAGAGGTGTGTGTAGACAGGACTGTTTTCCTTCTGGAGGCCCCAGGGGAGAATCCGTTTCTTTGACTTTTCAGCTCCTGGGGGCTGCTCAGGTGCTTCGGCTTTTGGGCTCCATCCTCAAAGCCCATCTCATCACCTGGACCTATGTGTCTGTCCTCACATTTCTCTTACTTCTCTTGCACTTATTTCTGAGTGACTTTGACCTGTGGAAAGTTCCCTTTCCACCCTGGATCCAACGAGTCACCCTCGGTTCTGAATCCCACTTGCCTATTTATGCTCATTTCTCTTTCTGTTCATCTTCTCTTCTGCATTTCGTTGGTTTGTCTTCGTCCTCCAGATAATTTCCTTCTTTGCAGGTAGAAAAAAGTGTGGTGGGTAGAGCATCTGATAAAAAGAACACTTGGTTGTGCCCTCTTACTGCCACTTAAAACCCTGCTGCTTTTCTGGGTGGTGGAAACACGTGTGATGCCTGTGAGACAGGGCCCTCTTACCTCCGGGGGCTGTCAGGACTAGTTCCCTGCTGTTCCTCTCCAGACCCTCAGTAGGGCCTGACTTTCCTTCCCAGGCCCAGAGCCAGTCCTCAAAGAGCATGTCGGTGACGTCAGAGGAGGAGGGACGAGGGGGCTGGGGTGCAGGCAGGCAGCTGTGGGAAGAGAGAAGCTGAGCAAAACAGCCGGCCCCCCGTTGGCAGGGAATTTGCTGGCGCGGTCTCCCAGTGCTTGGGCGGAGGAGGTTTGCAGGCTGCGGAGGCTCGGTCTCCACCCAGGCCCTGCACACACACACACACACACACACACACACACACACACACACACACACTAGGAGCAAAGCCTAGAGGACTGGGCCAGTGATTTGGGCCTCCCGGATTTTGTCCTGAGCGCACCGGCCTAGGTCGGCATAGAAATGTCAAGGTCACGCTCCATCTCCACCTGCGCTAACCCTTTCTGCTGTCTGCATTCAGTATTCCTTTTTTTTTTTTTTTTTGAAAAAGGAGGAGATTGGATGAGATGCTTTAGCTCTCAAACTCTGTGACCGATTGCACAGCAAAAACAACACCAACTAAAAATGGTGGGTTTTGTGAGTGTCAGGGGAGGGAGTGGGGGCGGGCAGGCGTGTGTGCTGTTGACTCCGGGTTTCTGAGAGGAGGAGGAATGTGGCAGGAGAGAAATGCAGCTGCCTTGGCAGAGACAGTGGGAAAGAGAAAGCTCACGGCCAGGGCACCCCAGGTCTTTTAGGAACACTCAGTCCGCCGCCACAGAAGCCCCTGGACACCCCACTCACTGCAAACATGCCCAGATGTTGGCTTTGTCTTTCACCCTTAGAGGACTTTCTTTCTTTTTTTTTTTTTTTTAATTGTATTTATCTATTCATGAGTGACACAGAGAGAGAAGCAGAAATATAGGCAGAGGGAGAAGCAGGCTCCCCCTGGGGAGCCTTATGTGGGACTGGATCCCAGGACCCCGGGATCACGCCCTGAGCTGAAGGCAGATGCTCAACCGCTGAGCCACCCAGGTGCCCCCCTCAGAGGACTTTCTAGTCAGAAACTACCCCTCTGTGTCGGGGAAGCCGGTTGTTCATTTCTAGAAAGCTCTGACAACTGACCCCCCTGCCTGCCCTCCACTCTGTGGCCAGGCCTGCAGTTCTGAGGGAGGAGAGGGCAGGCTGCTGGCTTGCAGATTTCCGGGGAAAAGGGGGCAGTGGTTGCACCAGCGAACAGAAAGGCCGACCCTCTCCGGAGCAAGAGAATTCTTCCTGCCTTTGAACTGATCCTCCTGTCCTTTTTCCCAGATCTGGGGCCTGTTGGCCTCCGGACTGGAATCCCGCCATCAGCTCTCCTGTCTCCTGGCTAATGGCAGAGCTTGAGACCCGCTGGCCTCCACAGTCGCCTGAGCCAACTCCTTGTAAGGAACCAACGTCCTCTCTACCTTCCTAGACAGATAATACCCGTCTATATCCCATTGGTTCTGTTCCTCTGGAGAACCCCGGCCAATGCAGGCCCCCCTCCACCCTGGGTCATGCATCTGGAACCTGCTGGGCTCTCAGCTGCTTCGGGTCCCCACATGGCTTTGTGGCTGGCCACACGGAGAACTCCTGAACCCAAGCCCCTCGCTGGGGCTTTTCTTTATTTACAGAGGTGGAGGGTGATCACCAGGCAGGCCTGGCTCCCTGTGTGTTTCCCGAAGCTTTGTGTTTTCGTCTCCTCAACCCTAAGAGCTCTATGTTTCCTAACAAAGGGACTTGTAGGGCGAGAGGGCAGACATTTACCTACACCTACTGTTGCTCTTCACTATTGTCTGTGACAAAAGCCTCCAGGAAAATAAATCAGCTCCTGGAGTGCCTTCAGGGTCGCTTCTGTCCCTCCCCATTTTCTCCCTCACGTCCTCATATGGCCCTCTCTGTGGGCTTTAATAGGAACTAAAATCAATTTTTTTAAATGGAATTATTACAGACGCAAGTACAAAGAGGAACATTTTTAAAGCGTAGGCTCGGAACATTTTGTGTTTAGAAATCAAGTGTGGGAACTTCATTGAGAAATAAATATAATCAAAATAGGAACAGTGGGAGGATGGGGAAAAATGAGGGACGACTGGTAAAGCTAGAGAATTTTTTTTAAAGAATGGTTAAGCGCTATCTTCTGTTTTTAGGACAATGACTTCCTTATTTTTATGAAAGCAATGCAGAGCATTAATAGATGGAAATACATGAAAAAAGGAAGAATGACACCGCACATCCTGTTTTTATTTATTTATTTATTTGTTTGTTTGTTTATTTATTTATTTAAAATTTATTTATTTATTTATTTTAAATTTTACTTTTGTAAGTGATCTCTACACCCAACATGGGGCCTGAACTCAGGACCCCAAGATCAAGAGTCAAGTGCTCTGCCAACTGAGCCAGCCCGGCATGCCTGCATGTGCTATTTTTAATTTAAAAGGTATTTAACTTGTCCCAGTCACTTTGGGCTGCTGTCACAAAAATTACAACAAAAATGAGTATTTGAAGAACAAATATTTCTTTTCTCCCAATTTTGTGGAGGCTAGGAAGTGCAAGATCAAGTTACTAACAGATTTGGTGCCTGTCAAGGCCCCCTTTCCTTCGTAGATGGTGTCTTATTGCCGTTGTGTCCTCAGTGGTAAATAGAAAGCCCTTGGATTTCTTCATCCCTTTCCAAGGGCACCAGTCCCCTTCACGAAGAGTCCACCCTATGACCCATGACCACCCAAGGCTGTCCCTGCTAATATTATCAACATTAGGCTAGGTTAGGGTTTCAGCATAGGAATTCTGGAGGGACACAAACATTCAGGCCACAACAGTGTCACTTCTTTTCTTTCTTTTTTTTTTTTTTAAGATTTTATTTTTTTAAGAGTCTGT